CGTAAACCGATCTGTCATCGGTCGATGTGATTTGAAGCTATTCGATTATTGAATAACGCGGTCACAGAACTAATTACGGTGCGAAATCATTCAACGAGATTCCACATCTGAAATAGGGTGTAATATGATTCGATAACATCTCTGTTTACGATAAAGCAGATTTGACAGAAATTCATTATTTGCTTATTGGCGAATCTGAAATTTTTGTCTTATTTATGCTTTTGAATTTATCTTGATACATTATAAATATGCAAAACAGCATGAAGTATATTGAACGATGAATATGTTGTCGCGTCTGATATCGCAGATAGTATTACGGACGCGTTCTGTCGCACTATCCCTTTGTGAGCGCTGAATCCTTTGAATTCTGCAAGATGCAATAATCTAGAGAATTTTCTCACTGCATGCGCATACGTTGCTTCGTTTTACACCTTCTTTGAATGTATATTTCACATTTTTGTTAGATCGAAATTTTTTAACATTCCACACATTGTATATTCGAAAATGCCTCTATATTTTGAGTTTTTAGTTACTGCAAAATTGGTTAATTTTGAACAAAGAGTTGAAAAGACCTTAAATAAAGTCGAAGTAACAAATGATCTTTTGATGGGATTACACATTTTTCCCTTCAATTTGTTCATATTCCATCGCTTTTAGCTCGACTCGGTTTTTTTAATTCTGTTTTTTTTTATTTCCACAAGATCTGGCCACGAGATTTGTATATTGGATTGCCAGTAAATTGGCAATCCAATATACGATTACTACCAATTATTATTAAATCCGACGATATTGAATTTCACTGCCATTCATGCTTTATTCATATCGATCTATTATCGTTTCGTATCATGTTTAATGGATTTGCAAATATAGCTATGCAATCTAGTTTATTTGCGAAAGAAAAAAGTTATACACTGTAGATTATTCATACTAAAATTTTAAATAGTCCGAAAAGTTTGAGGAGATCTCTATTTACAATTAATGCATGTGCGCCAATTCACGGGATCGTAAATATCAGAGACCCGCGAACAACGCAACGGGATGTGTGTAATCCTGCTACGTGTAACTTACAGTTGTCGATAAACCAGTGAGTCGAGCAATATGTCCCGTTAAAACGCGACAGCGGTTTGCGTTTAGACGCGACGAGAGTGGGTGCAATTTCTGGTATAGCGCGATTTACCCGTCATAAAACTCCGGCACAAAAAGGGGCCTCGGCATCGGCTCCTCGGGATTAATGTGGCGTGAGTAATGCGTCTCCGATGGAACGTACATGTAGGAGGGTCGCGCGGCCGGATTATTCCAGCTCCTTTATCCCCGAGACTTCACCTTGGGACCTTGAAATAATACGAGTTACGATAAGTACGTGGTATCGTTACTCGTTGCCGCGCCACAACTCGTTGATTAAATTGTTGCGCCGAGATCGCGTTTTCGCGCGCTAACTATAAGTTTGCGCTCCGAGTGCGCGCCTCGTAATTTTGTTAATCTCATAGACAACACCAACGGGATTACATAAAGATAATGTCTGATTATCCTCCGAATTAAGACGTCGGTCGATTAGAGAATAATTCAAGAAGGGAACGTATTTCGCGGCAAGAGCAGCTGCTCGTAGCTCCCAACCAGGGGTTAATATTATTAAAGATATACGTGTGATACAGATGCTGTAAAGAGATTAAGGCACAATGTTCGTAGTATCGACTTAACGTGCACGTCTGTTGCCCATCGATACGGAAAACCGATCCAATTATTCAATGTGAACTCGAAGCAACGAACAGTTTTCTATTACGAAAGTTATGCAGAGCAGCAGTACGAAATTAACGATAAGTTATTATAATATGCTATTTCGTGGGCGGGTTGCGAGAGTTGTGGTACTTTGGAGCGCCAAAGTAAACTCGGTCCTGGTACCAGGATCTTCCGTATCGGACCGACCAGAGTTTACTTCCCGAGTTCGGAGTTTCGTAATTTGCTGTCGGAGGGCCGAGACGTCGCATTATTGTGTACGCCGCACTTGTAATAATCTCTGTCCTAATTACTACGCTGTGATAAAGTAGGATTGCTCTGGAATTGGAAATTCTTTGCGATGACAAAGAGCTTCTTGATTACATCTGATTACATCCGCGTAACTAAAACACCGCGTTGCGCTTCGCACTTTGTTAGTCGTGCGTCTATATTTGCTTATTACAGAAAAGCTGTAAAAAGCTCAATTTCTGCTGAAGCGCACGAAAAAGAGTGAAATGTTTTTTGTACAGCAGCTTCCAGCCGCGCGCGCGCGCGCGTGTGTGTGTGCGTGTGTGTGTGCAACGTGTTTGTGGATATGGGACGGTAACAGAGTTTAGGAAAGTAAATACGTATAGCAAACGCGACTTTCGAACACCACGGATTGCGCGCGTTTTGTAACGATAATGCGAAAACTTGTTCATGCAGAAGAATACTTTGCGGTGAACCGTATTGCCATACTTGTTACACGAATAGTATGTGCCAATGTTTCTACGCAGTTTGCATATTGCCGAATTTATGAAACTGTCGGTGGTTTTGTCGGTGGTTTATGGTCATGGTATAACAATTTGAATATCGAATTTTCTTAATCGTCGCAACTCTCAAGCTGACAAAATGTTTTCAATGAATGCTAAAATAGTGAGGAGTACTTTTAATATTGAGTTTGATAAAAAATGTATCATAAATTATTTCTTACGATTTAATTTACTGTATTTTCGTTAAAGTTGTGAATAATTTCTCTGCATTTTTTCATCGCAAAGTAAGACTCCAACGATACGATTAATCTTTGAATTTATATTTCATTCAGTGTAAGTAGTATTATATACATATTTTTTGCAGATATTTATATTAACTATGTACCGAAGATTTTTATAATTACTTTCAATTATATTTTAAATAAAATCTTGTTTAAAGTTTAATATCTTTTCGATATTATTAACTCAACTATATAATTATCTAGAAGATAAAATATTTAATGTTTGCAACAAAATTAACATTGCATGTGGAGCCACATTTATCACACTACAATTTATTATGGAAAGAAAATTATTTAAACTTTTAATAACTTGAACTACTTTCTTTTTAAATAACCATCTTGTCAAATTTTAATTCTAAATTATTTTTAATTATTTTAATTGAATGTCTAAAAAGACAGCTGAGGTCGGTTTAATTACGCCGGACTACACTATCACAAGAATATACCGTGATTTACAGATTTAATCTTTTTTTCAAATTTTATTTTGGCGCAGTAAGATGTACTGATATCCTTCGACGTGAATTAATTCAACTGTATAATGGTCCGATGCTCTCACGCTTTTACTGCATGAGTCGTTACGTTTAATTTCCGAGGTCGTCGCATCACGACCCTGCTCCAGTGTCTCTCCGTCTCCGTCTGTTGTTACAGAAGCAAAGAGGACCGATTCACTCGACAGTAGAGGCAGTCACAGCTGCGCCGACAGCCAGCCCGCACCGTATCTCTTGTTTGCCAGTTACACATTTTGCATTATTGCTCGCTCTTTCTCTCCCTCATATATCAATGCGAAATGCGTATTATACGGCACACTTTGGCCGATTGCTTTTTACATTTTTAATTTATTTCTACACTTTTTTTTGTTTTTTACCTTTTTTCTAAATAATTTTACAGATCGATATAAGAACCTCGCAGAATTTAACAAGATGGAAAGGTCAAAACTGCTTTATCTCACAGCGATGAATACGCGGATTTTTGGTACGTGTTCGCGGTATTACAACCGGCGCGGCAGGAATTGCAACGGGTATCGAGTCATAATCGGATGAGGGACGTAACTTGCGATTAACGAGCACGAAAATTGGCACGGATGAAGTGCGCTTTTCGAATATTGTCAACGGATTGCAACGAGAACTGCTCGCTCGATTTCGCGTGAACACGGCAGTAACACACGATATGTCAAATAGCTGAATTTGTTTCCGTTATGAATTCGTTGCGATTCATTTCGGCGGCGTGATCCGAACGGCGATTTGTGTAGCATATTTTATCGAATAATCGAATTACGAATTCCGATGTTTCTGCTCTCTTGCTTTGCAATGCATCGCACAGCTAACTCGCGAGACTGCAGTCAACGATGCATCTTGCATTGTGAAGAATGGAAGCGGTGCGCGCATCAGAACCGAATCATCAATGATGTACAACTCTTTTCCCCCGTCACATTGCTGCGCTTTGGCCGACTGCCAATCTCCATTGCTACGACATTCCTTTCTCGCGAGCCGTCGCATCAATTTTCCGTCTTTTACAATATGTGTCACCGACGCGGCAAATTTTATTGCAGCGTATTTGGAGATTCTTTAATTATAGATGATTTCATCAAACTAAATTGCCAATACCTGTAATATTTCTGAAAGCGCAGTGTAAAATGTGTCATTGTGACTAAAGATTTTATTTTAACTTTATTTAAATTTATTGCCTTATTTTTATTCTAGTTGATCTCAATTTATTTGATCTAAAATTTATTTAAAAAATAAAAACCAAACGAAAAAGAGGGAATATCGCATTTTAATATTTTATGTCAAAAATCGTAGAATACTATAATTAAAGCCAAAAACGAGATGATTGTCATCAGCTTTGTTTCAAGCTCATGAACTAATGGAACATGACGTAAAATCATGATGGAACCGCTAGTACATATCATTTGATCGATATTTCAACTGAAATTCGCATGGAAGTACATGTGACACAACGGACCTAAACTCGACCGTAAGGCTCCACATAAATCAGTATTATCTCGCATTAATGCGCTACCAGCGCGGAGGTAATGTTCATAGATTCGCTTGTAATGAACACGCCACGCATCCTGTACGTTAATCCACGTAAAGAGTATCTGATCCGCATTATAGTTGCGCGAATCAATACGTCATGATGTTACAATTGCATATATATATAAATTATAATACATTTATATATTCATATAGTCTTGATTATCAACCATATCTTTATAGACATAAACTAACGTGCTGTCTATACTTTTTGTTTCCAGATATCGCTGGAAGCTGCGAGGTATTCCGAAAGTTTGCTGTCCACTTCGAAGCACAGCCAGCACAAGGTAAGACATATTATTCTTTTAACTTTGTGTAAAATTGCAGTTTTTGCAGTTATATAACGAGTTAAAAAACTCATATATATTATTGACGATGCAACAAGCTTCAGTGTACTTACGTGATGAAAGTTGCAGAACTAGGGACATTTAGCGCCGGGGGTACTTTAATCGAAAATGTTTCTGAGCGATTCGATACTTGCGCGACTCGATATCGATAGCTACATATTTATCTACCAAATTTTTTGCAAAGGAGTGTAATGTACGCGTCTCCAGCGCAAGCGCTCGTTTTTCGGTCCAGTGAAATAAATATTGGCTTTCGGCGACAAACGAAAGATACGCCGTCAATTCGAGTATCCATCGAACAATATTTATTTAGTCGGTATCGATTTTGTTGTAGGATATTGGCTTTCTCGGTAGTAACGATTGCATTTCACAGACTCGCTGCCTCCTCTCGCTCTCCTCTCCCTATCGCTGCCATTTGCGATCTTTTCCCGTCTCGAAAACTGCGCGAGGCGCAGTTAATATTTCATAACGATAAGAAAGTGCCTGAAACCGATAGAACGATATTTATAAGATTGCTTATGCACTCGTGAGCAGATGATGGCAAACATACTTTTGTCGGCGTAACGCGAGTGTAATAATTCAAACATAATTATAGTTGTACAGTTGTTGTCTGCTATGTGCATCGGTCTGTTAAATCAAACACGTATTTCAAGTCTCAAAGCGGCGCTTAAATCAACGCTATTCTAATAGCGCGGCATCTAATCTTGCATTTCAAGGTATATGTAGTTTTGCAGTCTTTGTCTTGTGTTTACTCTCGGTCTACTTTGTTACTGACAGCTTAACGTGTACCACAACATTGTACCTATTGTACGTGTATCATTCGAACGTGTCTACTGGCACATTCCCTGCTTGATGTTCCGTACGTGCGCCATTCGCTTTGCAGCGGAGTCAACGGAGTGTTTTCTGCCGTATCGCGGCCAAACGACGCGAGCGAAGGAACAAACTGTATATTACCGTCACGATACTTCTAATTAGCTATATATATATATATATACTTCTATATTAGCTATATATATATATACATATATAGGAATAGCGGAAACAATTTTGTTCGATTTGTGGCGTATTACGTCATCCGTGATTTTTACGTAAATTTATTTCAGGGTATTGAATTCTATAACTGTAGAAATCTGTTCTACATCACATCGCTCAAGTAGCCTGATATCTTTCTATTTCAATCCAAGGTTGTAACAATATAACCGAAATTAGTTTACATTCATCGCATAAACTGGGTCGGCTGCAGGAATCGAACCCATCAATTAATCAAGTGCTGGCAAGAGCGATGATCTCAGCCGTGATCGATATCCTCTTGTGTCTCCTCTTGAGCGCCACTTGACGCGTGCTTGAAATAGATTTTATTTCTCAGGCACGTGATTCAATTTCGATGAACCCGTGCGAATGGCGACCCCGGTATTCTCGCGGCATCCGGAAGTAATTTTAAATTAAACACTCACCGGGTTTAATAAAGCTTAATGCACAGTCTGTGTTGACGGCAACAAGTGCAAATTTCGTCGCTGCGTATTGCTGTGGCGACTGCGCGCGACCTACCGTTTCACCGTTGTAATAATTCTCCGGTCCTCTCGCCGGCTCCGCCTTTATCCGTCTTTGTCGCGCCAACGAGTGCAACCGGCGGTACGACTATGGGGTTTTCATGTAGCTTCGGAGCACACACGGGACACCGGGGGTCGACGGCACGTTTCATCGTTACCGTCGTCGTTTTCGTCTTCTTAACAGTTGACGCCTGCAGGGCGCGCTTAACCGCCGGCGAAGCCACGATAAAATGGCACATTTTGAACGCTCTTATTCCCCATCGCGCGTTCTCCCTCGGAATTCTCTTTTCCACTCTCGTCTACCTCCGTCCGCGTCACTTCATCGAATCGTGGGTTTAAGGGCGCGATAACGACGCGTAAAGCGGAAGTTGAATTGGACGTTGAAGACGCGAAAGATATGGCCCACCGGAAATATGGAAGGCGGCTCGAGTCTCGTTGGGTCTAGAGGCGAGTCGGCACGAGAGATATTTATTTTACCGCGAACGCGAACATAGCTTTTAGGAGATTGCATTCTGTTTGTTGCCCAAATTTATTGACTTTGATCCTGGTTGTGACATTTTTCTGCTTATCCTCGTTGTCGGTAAAATATACGAAAATACATACGCGCAACTATGCAGATCGGAGAGTAAAACGAAAAATTCCGTAATATCTTGTATGCATATCGCGTAATAATTCTTCTAATAAATTTGGATTAGAATACAAAACGCTTAAGCTGTTTAACGCTCTCACGCGGCTTAAAGAAATAACAATTCTTCCGCAAAAGTTTACTTAAAATTCTGACATCTTTATATAGTAGAGAAGAAATTTTTAAAATATTTTATTTTTTCCAATACTTTCGTAACATTTTGGTATCCACTTGCACACGGTATTCTAATATCGATACTCTAATATCGATGCAAGTACTTTTATGACACTGTGATTGAGTGATATTGAGTCTTATTGCAATTCGCGTCGCTGTAAAATGTCTCGAATATTGGCAATATCATCAGTCGCGTACTATAATCGCACTACTACACGAACCATCAGGATTATTCGCGAAATACTGACCGGCTAGCAGGATCAAACGTCAAAGCCCGGCTTCTTCATTTTCGTGTGCACATGGGTGCATCGCAATCTCCGGATTTATACACGCGCAAACTAACTCTCTAGAGTAACTCGCTGCGCCGTTCATTGCGGATACGTTATGATTAGTTTGGCACGTGAGAGGTAGCCCTAAGCGAGAGTAAGAATCATCAGCAAAAATGTCAAATCGAAACAAACGAGCGACCGAGGCACGATTTTTTATATAATACGTGAGATTATCGATGGTATTCGGAATACGAACGGGTGGGCAAGCATGCGGAAAACATCGTGTCTATTCTTTTCGGCGGTAGAGAATAAATCTATTCAGAAGTTTAGAACATGCAATCTTCTTTTCGATTATCGCAGTTAAATGCTGCATAAAAATTTAAAAGCGGCAAATTTATTTCTTTTTGGGAGAAATAAATTTGCCGCTTTCTTTTATTTCTTTTTGATGAGAAAAATTCTTTCAATGTGAAATCGGGCGGATACTGACATATTTAATGAAAAGATACAAGCTTTTATGTAATAAAAAATTAAAATTAAATTGGTAATATTTTATCTGTCACAAAAAAAATTGAGCTCTAAAAATGAAAAGAGATAATGTGTGAACATATATACAGTGAAATTTATTTATAAAAGCAAAGTTATTTAAAATGTTTTTTACATAATGAAAGTTAAAAAAGAGGGAATAAGTATCATTTTCAGGATCTCTTTTTATTGCAAATATCAGTATAAACCCGTTTGTACATATCATGCCCGTTTTATTTGAACGGTTTAACTTTGGATATAACGCAAGGTTGCATTTGATGTAGACGGCTAAACACTAATTACATCTGAAAGACGAAACATGTTGAAAAAAAAATGGTAAACATCGTTTTCGCGAAAAACAAGGCAACCGGCAATACAAGCCATCATTCAACGTTCAACGTGACACTCTCTGAAGCTGTAACGACATAATTTAAGCTCGTTAGCAGACACAGCTCGGGTACTCGAACGCCGACGTCGCCGCCGCGCTCTCGAAGCGCTCCACGAAGTTCGTCAACCTAATTCAAACGGCAGTTTACTCCCGTTTATGTTCGCGCTCGAGACTCGCGCCCGAACGAATCGCCTCTCATTGGACGACGCGTCGTTTCTCGCTCGTTGGAAGAAACGACGTTTTTCAACCAGTAAAGCCGCTCCGCTGCCGCTCGGACGTGTGAAATCCAGTTTGACGAACTTCCTACTCCGACGCGATCATTTGGCCGCTTTTTGCCGCCTGATTCGCGAGAGATTCGCATTATTTCGTGGAGAACGACCGTTGGCCGAATCACCATTCGACCCCGCACGGCAGACTCTGTCGGTCGTTTGCCCGCGCGACAACTGTCACGTCAGGTGAGGAAACAGGTCGTGCTTCTCTCGGCTCGAACTTTGCGCGATTACCATTGACTGTCGCAAATAGTGGAATTAAGCGGGAGCGCGTGGCACGCATGACAAACTCACACATTCCGCACTAACGACACGTAGCACTTTGCACCAACCGCCACTCTCGGTACCAGCGAAACGCAATTATCATTAGCCGCGGTTCAGCGCGACCACACATGAGTTGTCTAATTGGTTAACCGCAATTAACTCCGTCGTATAATTAAAAAATGAAGCTGCGCGGACAAACGGCAGAGCGATCCACTGTTCGCGTTTGCTAATTTCTGTTGCTATTTTCGTTATGCACGCCGGAATATTCCTCGATTTACACGTAAATAAAATTTTCTTTCTCTGCACTCGGGTTTTCTTTTCTCTCCAGCGCGATGTATATATTCACCGCTGGGTCAAAAGGTGAGAAAATATTACGTTTGAGAGCGGCGTCGCGCGCTATAGTAAAAAAGCAGTCGATTTCCCTCGTCCGCTATGTATAACCGCTCCGCTTCTCCCCTCCCCCCCCCCCGATGCCGCGATTCTTTCGAAATGCTCGCTCGCTTGTCACCTGCATTGACGCGAGAATATTTGTGTATCGGACCGATTCGAATTTCAGTCTTTTACGGAGGTTCTTGAGACGCTCTCCAATGCTTATTCGTTGAATATCCCATAACAAATAAGACGTGTATCCGCGTCCACTGAAAGAGAGAACCGTTTTCAGAATCCGATGAGAACAAACAATATAAAGCTCCGTTGCTGTAGCTTTGAATTGCGCCGGAAATTCCGCGTCGCATTCACTCTGTTTTAACCGTGCTATCGGTTTATTATCCAGTTTTCTAAAGCTGAAGTTTGAACTGTTACGGCTTTATTGTGGTCACGTTCTTGAGCAGTTCCGTCCTTGTCGCAATTCGTGTAGTATGCACAATGTCGCAATTAAATGTT